TGTCCCCTAGCACAAAAGCCCCTCAAAAAAAAAAAAAAACTTTTTTTTTTTTTTTTTTTTAATTGTCACAGGCTGTGTGCATTGACCAGAGAGAGATAAACATAACAGGACAGGGCAGAGAGGGAGAAGGCATCCCCCCAGTGAGTTGGAGTCACTCTGCAGTTCCTTTTCTATTTCTCCATCCTTTTGGCATTTGGGGCACATACTTAGGTATCTGGTGTGGTTTTCAAGTTTCTGGGGCTGGGATTTAAACAAAGGTCAGTCATATGGGAATCTAGCTCCCTTAAATACTAAGCGATGGGAGTTGCTCTTCCAAAAAGCATTTTCATTACCCTCAAAAGAACCCCCGTGGGGCCGGCAGGTGGTATGGTGGTTAAGGGCACTGGACGCCCACATGGCCGGCCACAGTTTGAATCCTGGACCTGGTAGCTTGCTTTCTCACTCCTCTCCTTCCCACCCCCAACACACACTCTGTCCCTCTCTGATGAAATTAATATAAATAGATAAAGTGATATAAAAATAATTCTTAAAAAACAAACAAAAAAACCTTCCCCTTAGCATTAACTTCATCCTCTGGCCCCACCCTGGCAACCACTAATTTACTTTTTGGCTTATGATATTTTCATTTTCAGTACACAAGCCTTGCACTTCTTTTGTCATAGTCATTTACTTTAAAGGAAATTATTGGCCAAAGAACATTTTCTAGTGAAGAATTTTTAAAATTCATTTTATTTATGATAGTATGTATGAGAGAGAAAGAGAGAGAAAAGCACCCTTGACAGGTTTTGATCATGCTGTGATTCTGCGTCCCCAGCCCTCCAGCTCATCAGGACCATGAGTATGCATGTGACTTGGCATGTTTCAGGTCCTCTGGGCTAGGGGTCCGAGCCCACAGTTGGCCACATGGCTTCCATGGCTCATCACGCTACCGACTGTGTCATCAGGCTGGGCCTCATGAGAAACGCTTGCAGTGACAACCTTCTTTGTTTTTAACACTAACACTGTAATTCTCATTACCTAGAAAATGTGATGAAAATCTCAAGTTACTCAGGATTAACGTTTTTCATCCAGCTCTTAAATGTTAGCTTCCCTTCAGCAATCTTGTCCAGCCCAGTAAAAGTTACATGCCTGAGCCTTATCCCATAGCTGTGCTCTCTAGGGAGCAGAGGCAACATAAATTAAGACAGCGTAATCAGGTTGGGATGCACATGGGTGTAAGAAACAGAAAACTATTTAGAGGCTGATGAAAAGGAATTTTTTTTTTTTTCCAATGGAGCAAAGAGTTAATGGGTAAGCACTCTGGGGCTGGTATCAATGATCATTGATGCCACTAGGAACTCAGGCTCTTTCCTGTTTTCAGTTCCTCTGTCCTTAGCATAGATTTTCATTCTAAATCCTTTTGTCTCATGGTTGCAATGTGGCTGCTGCACCTCCAGGCCTCACATTTATGTTCCAGGTAGGAAGAAGGAGAAAGGATGAAAGAATGAAGAGCTTTCCTTTAGCAAGTTTTTACCTTCTTATCAATGAGGAAGAAGCCTTCTCCAGGGCTTGAATAAGCTAACCAACAGTATCTGCTTTGTACTGACTATCTTATTTGATCCTTATTTTAACCCTCTGAGGTAGGTAATATTTTTCTTTTCTTGCACATGCACAAGAGAAAGAAAGCACCCTTCCCAAAGGGGCTTGGTCATATCACATTTATTTTCCCTCCAATTCTCCATCCTGTCTGGATTCTGGGCATATATGTCCGGTACAGTTTTCAAGTTGACTTGAACCCTGTTTGAACCCTGTTAAGCCATGTGGAATCTGGTCCCCTTGTGCAATGCCTGACCACTGCACTATGAGCCCAGATTCTTTTTTTTTTTTTTTTAAGTTTACACTTTTATGATAAATGTGTAAGAGCGGTAGAGAGAGAGAAGGCTCTCTCTCAGTAGGGTTTCATCATGCTGTGATCACCTTTCCCCAGCCCTTCCGCTTTTTCAGGATCCTGGGCATGTTCACATGCACCCTGCTGCTTTCAGGCCAGCCTGGGATCTGAACCTGAGGCTTCCTGCACTGCAGTTCAGCTGGCTACCATGGCACCATCAGTCTGAGCCCATTCATATTTTTTGACTGTATGTATATCATGATGAATGTGGATCTGAACTTCGATCTCAGTGCCTTGGTTGTGGGAATCTTTGAGAAAAATCTATAACTGATTTATAGCAGAGCAGACATAAGGAAGGCTCCAGATGCAGCCAATAGATATGCTTATTGGATATAAACATGCCCATTTAAAAATAAAAGTATGATATCTTGATGTTGTATTAGGTAAGAAAATGTTGGTAATCACACGATGAGAAGAGTGATGTCATGGTAAATTCGTAATCACTGGCCTTACCTCTTTCCTCAGTATTGAAGTACAGAGTAGACACTTGTGTCGGTCCAGTTGGCTACTATAACAGAATACAGAAGACTTGTGTCTTTTTTTTTTTTTTTTTGGGGAGGTTTTTTCGTAGGGGGGCGCACTGTTCC